AGGGCAAATTTACACAACATTAAAGGGCAAGTGTGAGCTGTAAGATGTTCATAACCAAAGACTTATTGTAATAACAAAAGCACAAACAGCAAAACACAAAATTAAAAAAAATGGGACCTCATAAAAATTTAAAACTTTTGTTCGTCAAAGGACTTTACCAAAAAGGGAAAAGACAAGCTACAGACTGGGAGAATATCTTCGGAAACCTCGCATCCAATCAGAATCTAGTAACCGAAATACACGTAAAATTTCCACAACTTAACATTACACTAAGTCAAAGAAGCCATTTACAAAAGACCACATATTATATGATTCCTTTCATTAAATATCCAGAGTAGACAAACCTATTGAGACAGAAAACAGATTAATAGTTTCTCAGGGCTAGGGGCGTGTTGGGGAAGAGATGAGAATGAACTGCCAATTAATATGGGATTTCTATTTGGGTTGATAAAATGTTCTAAAATTGTATTGTGGTGATGGTTGCACAACACTGTGAATATACCAAAAACAATTCTACACTTTGAATGTTATGGTATGTGAAGTATGCCTCGATGAAGCTGTTAGAAAATATATGTGTATATAAACCAAAAGCTAACACGTTTCCTGAAAACAACCAAATATTTTGAGGGACAGAGTAGCAGGGGCGGGGGTCTGGGGACCATCATTTTAGGGGACATCTAGATCAAATGGCATAACAAAGTTTATTAAGAAAATGTTCTGCGTACTACTTTGGTGCGTGGCATCTGGGATCTTAAAAGCTAGCGAGCGGCCATCTAAGATGCTTCAACTGGTCCCTACCCACGTGGAGTAAAGGAGAATGAAGAACACCTAAGACACAAGAAAAATATTCGCCCAAGAGACAGAAAGGGCCACGTAAACCAGAGACTTCATCAGCCCGAGACCAGAAGAACTAGATGGTGCCTGGCTACCACCAATGACTGTCCTGACAGGGAACACAACAGAGTCCCTGATGGAGCAGGAGAAAAGTGGGTGCAGAACTCAAATTCTAGTAAAAAGACCAGACTTAATGGTCTGAGACTGGAAGGACCCCAGACGACATGGCCCCCGGACTCTCTTTTAGCCCAGAACTGAAACCATTCCCAAAGCCAACTCTTCAGATATAGGTTAGACTAGACTATAAG